TGGCTTTTAGCTTATGATAATTTAGCCGTTGACCTGTTAATCCGGTCGACATCTAACCTTTCATTTTGTAAATAAAGAATAAGCTCATTTATTAATTCATTTTTAATATTTATATGACTTTGTTTGTTTATTGGGTTGCGGAAAAGGATCACGAATCTAAAGTGTGGGCCATTCTTTTTGTTTTTCTAGCTAAGAAAATTAGGTATTTATATTTATATTTAAAACAGGTAAGTTTGGTACAATATTTCAATTTAAAAGAGAGAATATATACTAAAAATGGGTAATCGCATTTATTCAATCAGGTATTCACTTTCAATCTCTGAGATGTTGATTAACTATAACATAAAATGATTAATTGTAATGTATTGATGATTAATTATTACTCCCTCCGTTTTAAATTACTTATCGTTCTAGATTGTTTTACGTAGATTAAAGAGTTTTATAAATTGACTACTTTAACCCACAAATAAATATAATTAAATACATATTATATATTGTGTAAGTTTAATTGAGGTTATATTTGGAATTTTTTGACAAAACATACATTAAAAAACGAGAATGACAAGTATTTTAAAACAAAAACATAAACCTAGAACGATAACTATATCAAAACAGAGGGATCATTTTTTGTTGCGAGAAAACGTACAATAATTCGTTTCTTCCGAAGAAGGTACAAATAATAAATAGCGATGAAGAGACAAACCAAATTTAACGGTTTGCGAGTCACCACCTTGTTCCTGTCTTTGTTGTTTGTTCCTGTTCTTGAGCGATGCCACGTGTCAAATGGGCCTATATATTCCACAATAATATTGACGGCCCAATAGTCTCGTGGGCCCATAAAGGTATGTTGGTGCTGACTGTATCTGTACGTATGTCTGTATATAAATATGCTATATGTGACTGAACCATAAGAAAAAGCTTAAATTCCTTCGCATCTTCGCTTTAATAACCTCGAAAGAATAATAAAGAGAGGAAGCAAAACGACATAGTTTTTGATAGCGACATAGAACAACAATATTCTCTTCTCTGTTTCATCTTTTCTCTGTTCTTTGATCCGACCATCAATGGAGAGATACGACATCTTAAGAGATCTTGGTTCCGGTAACTTTGGAGTTGCTAAGCTTGTCAGAGAGAAAGCCAACGGAGAGTTTTATGCCGTTAAATACATCGAAAGAGGCATTAAGGTTTTTTCTTTTTCTTTTTCTTTAATCATCTCCTAAATTTTCATTTTTTTATAGAAATCATTTTATCAAATTATGAAATGGATTTTATACAGATTGATGAACATGTTCAGAGAGAGATCATAAACCACAGAGACTTGAAGCATCCTAATATCATCAGATTTAAAGAGGTATGTATGATAAATAATGATCAAAATCATGACCGCATAACCATAATCGAGTCTGAAGTTTGGTTTACAAATCGGTTTAGTAGAGGACACACATAAATCAACTAAACAATAGAAAATTATAACAAAAATCAGTGAATATGTGATGATAAGTTTGGTTGATAAAAAAAAAAAAAGTGATAATAAGCTAGTACGATATTATGGTTTAGTGTACAAATTAATGTTAGCCTAGAACGTAATAATAAACATATTTTTTTTCCACTGCAACATAGAATTGGTGTGAAAATTTGATATCCGTTGGTTTGAATTCCGATCCACGGTAAAATAAAAGTAAGAAATATCTGGCCATGTAATTTATGTGTATTAATTTCTTATGGTTAGACTTTGGACCTCTTGTGAAAAAAAAAAAAAAAAAGACTTTGGACCTCTTCTAAGTTCGAAGAGAATGTATTAAATTGCTTTTAATAAATAACATGTCCTATTCTCCAACGGTCCAAATTCGAGTTTCATATGACAGCTTATGTATATAAGTCACGGCGTTGAAAATTCGAGATTATATAAAAATAGAAGCAATCGGTAGGTCGTCTCGATCTTGAAGATAATAAAATAAATATGTTTATGTGTTGGTTTTTTTTGGGGTCTATTTTGCAGGTTTTTGTAACGCCAACACATCTGGCCATAGTAATGGAGTATGCAGCTGGTGGTGAACTTTTTGAAAGAATTTGCAGTGCCGGTAGATTCAGCGAAGACGAAGTATATCTAAATTCATCATTACCGATGATTTAAAACTGATATAGTGGTTAATTAAATTGATTAACTTTAATTTCTCATTATTGTTTTAGGCAAGATATTATTTCAAACAACTTATCTCGGGAGTTAGCTATTGTCACGCTATGGTACGTATTAACTACGTTTAGTCTTATATGAATAATCTCCAAAAGTGATATATCATACAGTTGAAACTCTATGCTTACTGAATTTTATTTTTAATGAAGCAAATATGTCACAGAGACCTTAAGCTCGAGAATACACTCTTAGACGGGAGCCCGTCTTCGCAGCTCAAAATATGCGATTTTGGATACTCGAAGGTAAAATATTATATATATATATATATATATATAAAATACTGTATTTATACATATTTAATCTAAGTAATCTCCATTGAAAAAAGAAATTAAATATGTTAACCGAAATTAGTTTTATTAAACGTAAATGCAGTCATCAGTTTTACACTCTCAGCCAAAATCCACCGTGGGAACGCCGGCTTACGTTGCTCCGGAAGTTTTGTCCCGAAAAGAATATAATGGAAAGGTACAAATTAAATTAGTAACTACAACAATAATAGATTGATTAAAGTTAATTAATAAAACAACAACTTGTTTGATATGATATAAAAGTCGTATAATTATATAATATAACATATGATTTAAATATATATAGATTGCAGATGTGTGGTCGTGTGGGGTGACCTTATATGTAATGTTAGTTGGTGCCTATCCCTTTGAAGATCCCGAAGATCCAAGAAACATTAGAAAAACCATTCAGGTACTCAAAGATTATAATTAAATCAAACGTTCTTTCCACTAATTAACATTTTATAATCTTTTTGGTCACTAATTTAAATTTTTACAATGTTGTCATATTTAAATATAAGAATAATAATGATTAATATGTATACTTACAGAGGATATTAAGTGTACATTACACCATACCGGACTACGTCAGGATTTCCTCCGAGTGCAAGCATCTCTTATCTCGTATCTTCGTGGCTGACCCTGATAAGGTAATCAATTCAAATAATACCCTAACCAGTTTATGTAAATTATACCATACCGGTTCAGATTGGTTTTAACTACTGTTTCATATGGATTGCTACATTGGCTACTACTTTTGAAAACTGAAATTTGAAATATGAAACCATGATATAGAGAATAACTGTACCGGAAATCGAAAAGCACCCGTGGTTCTTGAAGGATCCTCTGGTTATGCCGCCAGAGGAGGTGAAATGCGATAATGGAGTGGAAGATGAAGAAGCAGCAGAAGAGAAGTGTCGACAGAGTGTTGAAGAGATTGTGAAGATAATAGAGGAAGCAAGAAAGGGAGTGAATGGTATGAATAATAATGATGGATTAGGGTTAATAGATGGGAGCATTGATCTTGATGATATTGATGATGCTGATATTTATGATGATGTTGATGATGATGAAGAGAGAAATGGTGATTTTGTATGTGCTCTATGATTTCATATACATGCATGCATGTGTGTGTTTGTCCATGCATATGTTTTATATGTATGCCGCTTGAGAATATTCGATGATCTTGTGTTGCATGTTTGTATAATTAAGTGGGAATAATTCACCTCTAATCAAGTTAAATAAAGTATAAGATTTGTGGGTCATTTTATTTATGTATATTTCTATTATATTACTTTTCTTTATTATACAGTTCTTTTTGTTTAATATGGCCCATCCCTTTTGTTTAACTAGAATCCAAAGATATATGTATAATTCATTTTGCAATTTAGAATAATTCAGAGAAAGATATATGTAATTGGGTCTTCTGATTCCGAAACTATAATTTACATATCCGTCAAGTGACTTTATGGTAGCTAAATGTGAATATTAGTTAAGAACCAATGACTTATTTTTCTAAAAATACTACGTAACTAAGGAGGGGAGTAGCTACAACAGTTTATTGTGATTCTTCCGATTAATTTTATTAGTAGGGTTACTATGTAAAAACTATAAAGAGGCTACTAGGCCACTAACATATTTTCACTTTGTTACATTTATTTTAATATAATCTAAAGTGGTGCAAATGTTTCTTTCTTTGGCCAATGTTTTTCTTTTCTAAACATCCATATGTTTAAAATATTTTATATGTTAGGGTCAGGTCAAATAGTGCTAATAAAATTTATATAAAAGAAACAATATAAAATTTAACATGCATATCCTTAAAACGCTACAATTAATATATGATATGCATATATATAGTGGCTAGCAAATCCAATTGATATATATGGTAGATGAAATTTTGAGTGGCTCAATACTAATAAGTAATAATTCATGACATAATAATGTATATGAGCCCATAATAACGACCAAACATTAGGTCCATGACGTCACACTCTCGCATTTATAAAATATCAAATGTTAAATCTACTTAATAAGAAGAAAACCTATCGAATTATTAGTGAAATTTCCAACGATTAATAATATATCAAATAATAGAATTAAAAATTCAGTTAGTTCTTAAGTCGTTTTGTAAATTTAGTATCAAAATTGATAAACAAGAAAAACAAAAACAAAAATACGAAATTGTGTAAGGAATTAAAAATCCATGAGGTAAAATCAAAATTTTAAAATCTTTTTTTAAAACAAATTAGAAACTTGTATATTAAATCTACAAAACTATGCCAATTTCTTATTTGAATTTCCATTATTTAAAATTCTATAAAAAATAAATCTAAAAAAATCAATTTTAAAAGAAAAATCGAATAAAATTACTTTTTGAAAACATGTTGAATTTATGATAACACAAAACTTACGGACCAAATGACGGGATGCTAAATCCGGTTAGTTTTCAGGTATTTAAATTTAACACTTGAGTTTGAAAACATTTTATACGTAAACATATTTTGTATTGTAAACTTTTTTTTTTTTAATTTTATTGTTTTGATACTAAATCTACATAATGATACGAAAAATGAAGTTGAAGTTGGCCATACCAGTGGGCTGAGGGTCAAGTGACGATATAGGCTTTTCAGGTATATGGATAATTTTCCAAGTATCTGAAACCATAAGTTTTTTTTCTTTACTTGAGCCTGTTCTTCAGATAGTTCATAGCACAAATTATAAGAATTAGGGAAGCAAAATAAAAACTCCAACTTACTCTGTGGAAATTGAATAAGAGAAGTTGCAAAAAGTCTCAACTTAAATTTCACATATAAGTAAAGGCTTCTTTCTACTCGTCGCACTGCAAATCAAAGAGCAGCTATATAATCTGAAAAAAATATGCTTTGTCTCTGATAGAGTTTTCACTCAGAGTCTTTATTATTGTTTTCAAATATAGGAGAGGAGGAGCTTCCCTACTATTTTCATTTTTTCAGCCAATCAGAGAACTCTATTTTCACACTTTTCGAATAAAAAATTGAAAAAATAAAAATTTCACAGCCAGTCTCAGCAAATGCGCGTTGAGCGCGTGTGTCCAATTTCTAAATCATGCCTTTTTTGGTCGACGCTCTTCATTCTCAAAAATCCATCGCGTGTCTTATTTTTTTGTGGTTGTCTTCTCTAAACCAAAGTAAACCGAACTGAAATCAACTCTAATTTCAAAACCAATATAAACCCATAAAACCCATCGCTGTGACGCCGCCGGCGAAAACAAAAAAACTCGGCGACAAAAATGGGAAGAGGGAGACGTCACCGAGATACTACTTGGAAGAGAAATCAAATCGAAAATAGCAACGAGAATGTTGAAAAACCCATCGCTTCCTTTGATTCCAACAACTTCCAAAAGCCCATCTGCTCAAATCTTCATTTCGAGGAGTATTACAAGGTACCTCTATACAATCATCAATGACACTTCCATGGCTTTTGAAACTTTGCTTCTAATAAACAACATTGTAATGTCTTCTTGTGTTGTGTTTAAGGAACAAAGGATAGTGAAAGCTGAAGAGTGGGATTCGTTTATGGAGTTTCTTCATAAGCCATTACCTGCTGCTTTCAGAGTTAATTCCAAGTTTGTATCTTAACTTTTATTTGTATTCTTGAATTGCTAAGTGTTACTATACTTCAAAGTAAAAGTTTTTTTTGACTATGTTTATGATTCTTCAGTGGTCAATTTTGCGATGAGATTCGATTGAAATTGGAGAATGATTTCATGAAATCTCTTCAGGCTGAGGTTAATTCATGACTCATCTTTTTTTTCTAGTGTCTCATTGATGATAGTCTACATAAGAAGCACTCAGATTTTGGTTTTTGTTTTCCATACTTAAGGCTATAGAGAGTGGTGAATTGGAGGCTATCAAGCCTTTGCCTTGGTACCCTAAGACTCTTGCTTGGCATTCTAATTTTTCACGCAAGGAGATTAGAAAAAACCAGATTCTTGAGAGGTACATTTTCATGCCAGTTGCTTCAGAACAAGTATTCAATTCCATTCCCGTACTTATGTTAGTTCATGCTTTCTCCTAGTTATTTAGCCTTTTTTTTATCGGGGTCTTATTCAGGTTTCATGAGTTTCTCAAGTTAGAAACTGAAGTTGGGAACATGACAAGGCAAGAATCAGTTAGCATGGTATGGTAGTGTAACATTCTTTAATCGTATTTGTTGGTACTCTCTTTAGTTTTCGTGGTGAATTTTATGATTATGCAGGTACCTCCTCTCTTCCTTGATGTACATCCAGATCATTTTGTTCTCGACAGTAAGTGATTTTTATTCGACATTGTTTGAGTTGGCTGTGGACTTGAGGAGTAATGTTTAACTGATGCACTTGTCTTCTCTTCTCTTTTGTCTGAACAGTGTGTGCTGCACCTGGTTCCAAGACATTTCAGCTGCTTGAGATAATACATGAATCATCAGAACCAGGATCTCTACCTAATGGAATGGTTTGTAGTATTCTTTACTCCTTTTTAAATTGATAGATCATGTTTTGTTTCTAATTTTTTTGGTTGAATCAGGTGGTGGCGAATGATGTTGATTATAAAAGATGTAACCTTCTTATTCACCAAACGAAAAGAACATGTACAACTAACTTGATGGTCACTAACAACGAAGGTCAACATTTCCCCAGCTGCAACACCAAGAGGACCTTGTCCGTAGCATCTGAGATTAATCCTCATCCCATTGATCAGCTTCTTTTTGATCGTGTCTTATGTGATGTCCCGTGTAGTGGTGATGGTACTCTGCGCAAGGCTCCAGACATATGGCGAAGATGGTTTCAATATTTATGAGTTTTCAAATTGACATTTGTTGATTCCAATTGCTTCAAGGTTCTTACTTGTTTCCTCGGTTTCTGCACAGGAATTCTGGATCTGGCAATGGACTTCATAGTCTACAGGTTGTGCTTGCCATGAGAGGTAAACTTTTTTCACAGATGATCCGAGTCGCAGAATCTTATGTTTTGATTTTTATCTGCAATGTCTGGTTTCAGGTTTATCTCTGCTAAAAGTTGGTGGGAGAATGATATACTCAACCTGCTCAATGAACCCAATTGAAGATGAAGCTGTTGTTGCTGAAGTAATTTGATAGTTTCTTTCTTCTTTCTCCATAAACCTATTCTTCTGGATGCTGATATATTGTTAGTATTCTTCAGATTCTGAGGAGATGTGGATGCTCTGTTGAGCTTGTAGATGTCTCAGATAAGCTTCCTGAACTTATTAGAAGACCAGGTCTTACGAAATGGAAGGTACAAAAATACCTATTACTTTGACGTAAGGATAAAAGTAATGAATTTTAATCTTGCTTTGTATCTATGTGGATTCAGGTGCATGATAGAGGTGGCTGGTATAGATCTTACAAAGATGTTCCAAAGTCACAGAGAGATGGAGTTCTTAGGAGCATGTTTCCTTCTGGTAAAAGTGATAAAGACTCAACGGGTGGCGGAAATAGCTATGAAGAAATGGCTTATATCTCTTCTGAAGAATCAGCCGTGGAAGTCTGTGATCTTCCCCTTGAACGTTGTATGAGGATACTGCCTCATGATCAAAACACTGGGGGGTTTTTCATTGCAGTCCTTCACAAAGTTTCACCTTTACCAGGTGAATTTGCAGAACTTTCTGTTGCATAACCGCTCTAGTTGATTCTTTAATAAGATTCGTGGATCATTTTCTTGCAGAATTTCAGGAGAAATTAAATCATAGAAGGAATTCGTTTACTAGAAACAACATCAACTCATCTGAGAAGTCTTCGTATGAAGCAGTATCTGACACTGTGGTTACTAAACCTGAAGAGGGTGCAGAGGAAATAGTTTTAGAAGCAACGGTTTCAGAGAATGGCTTTAAGCCGCCTGAGAAGGAAAGCACCTGCGATGAAGGGATCGTAGAATTGGCTCAAAAACTTGATGATATGGGAGGCAAGAGAGAAGTACCGTCAATGCAAGGGAAGTGGAAAGGCCTTTACCCTGTTGTTTTCTTGAGAGATGAAACAGTGATCGACGGGATCAAGACATTTTACGGCATCAAAGATGAAACGTTTCCGCTGTATGGTCATCTCGTGACTAGAAACAGCGACATAAGCAGCCACGGAAACGTGAAAAGGATTTACTATGTTTCGAAAGCAGTTAAAGATGTTCTTGAGCTTAATTTTGCAGTTGGGAAGCCGCTTAAGATCTCCTCTGTTGGTCTCAAGATGTTTGTAAGTACAACTTAGTTTCTTCTCTCTCTCTCTCGATCAAATACAAAATAGCAGTGGCGGGATTTATTAACTTTTCAACTAACCCAAACAGGAGAAACAATCGGCAAAAGAATGTGAAGCCAACTGTTGCTCATTCCGAATAACGTCAGAGGGATTGCCTGTGATCCTTCCGCACATGACCAAGCAAATACTTTATGCAACAATGGCTGATTTCAAGAATCTCCTGCAACACAAATCAATCAAGTTCCTAGATTTCATCCATCCACAGATTGGTGAGAAAGCAGCAAAACTAGCCTTGGGATCATGTGTTATGGTTCTCGTCGATGGTGTGTATCGATAAGTTTTATATAAGATACGTTTGGTTGGATCATGTGGGATATGCTTTTAACTGTTTTTGCTTCCTACAGATGATACTCAGCTCGGGTCAGAACCAGTCAAACTGAAAACATCAACAATAGCCATTGGATGCTGGAAGGGGAAGGCTAGCTTAACCGTTATGGTCACAACAGTGGATTGTCACCAACTTATCGAGAGACTTTCTGATAGAAGTAAAGAAGTAGAAATAGCTGAGAACTGTTTGAAGTCTGCTGAGACAGCTTGAATAACTCTCAAAGACTGTTGTTTCATATTTCAATCAAAAGCTATTGTTCCAATACTTCCTATCGGTGTCCAATTGCACACCAATGTTTAATGAACCAGCAAACAAGCCAGATTCGAAAAAGAATATACAATGAAAGTAGCATTCTCTATCACCAAATTTCAGGAGGAAAAAAAATGAATCTTGCTTGTAACGAGACAGATCAAGAAGAACTACAACAAGTGCTGGTCTTAGCGGGAATATCCTGTCCAGAACCTGGGATGACAATCTTCTTACCAGCCAAGGAACCGGGGTTATTTGAGTCGCCCTGATTCTCGACAGATGCAAGATTCTTCTTGTTCACGGTATTGTATATCTCTGTCATTAGAGTGTTGAAGGAGTTTTCGACATTGGTTGCGTTTAAAGCTGAGGTCTCGAGGAAAAAGAGTCCTTCCTTCTCAGCAAACTCTTTAGCGTCTTCAGTGGGAACAGCTCTTTGATCTTCTAGATCAGACTTGTTTCCAATAAGGATGATGACAATATTCTTATCGGCGTGCGCCCTCAGTTCTTCAAGCCAACGAGGGATATGCTCAAAGGTTTCACGTTTAGTCATATCATAAACCAGCATTGCACCAACTGCTCCTCTATAGTAGGCGCTTGTAACTGCTCTGTATCTGCTTAGAGCAACAAAAGCAAAGTCACGAAACTAAAGAACAATCCCAAATCTTCTGTTCCAAATATAGAAATGAGCCAAATTGATTCAATCAGCTAAGAATCATACAAAATGTCGAATCTAAATAAGTCGACTTCTGTTCCTACACATGATTATCCAGATTACCTTATTGTTAGATCGGATCAAACACTATAGTAGTATACATTTCGATGATACAAATTCAGGATCTGGTCAAGGCGGATCCATAGGTGTTCATAAACTAGCGTAAATTCATGAGAAGTACTAAAGAAGTAACAAAATCTATGCACATTTTCTAGTCAAACCAAGTCGATTTCAGGAAAAAGTACAGATCCAGTGTTAAAGCAATTCAGAAATCAACAAATTCTTCTGATTAAGATTCCAAAACACAGAGAATCTAAGAACTCGTACCTTTCCTGACCAGCGGTATCCCAGATCTGAGCCTTAATGCTTTTTTGTTCAATGGAGAGAGTACGAGTTTGGAACTCGACGCCGATGGTGGCTTTAGAATCCATACTGAATTCGTCTCTAGCGAATCGAGCAAGTAGTTGTGATTTCCCAACAGCCGAATCTCCGATCAGAACAACTTTGAACACGTAATCAACTTTTC